GTCCGGGGGAAATCTGCAAGAAGTGTGGCGGTGTGGGACACTATGCTCGGGACTGTCCTACGTATGAACGAGGCCGGCTCGAGCCGGCAGACAAGGGCAGTAGGGCGCCCACCCGTCCTAGCACTGAGAAGACGGAACGATTAAACGTGCAGGCCTAGGCGACGAGTGTTCTAGGCCGCGTATCCATGGCAAAGGGATGATGTGTGCGGTAGCGACAGGTCCTAATGCCATTCCAGTCTCCCTTGACTGGGGAAACCAACTCCTCAGCACTGCGGAAAGAACTAATACGAGCGATGGGCACGCGGAAGGGACCCAGCCGCTTTCGGAAACGCGGCGGAAGTCTGGGTCAGCGTCGATCCTGAGTGAAGAGACTCCGGAAGCGACGGCAGATAGCAGCAGGAAGTCTGCAGAGGCAACAGAAGACGGCTATAGGTCAGACGCGACAGAGATTGTGCCACACTGGTGGCGGGAGACTTGCACGAAAGAGTCTTACAACCAAGGGGAAGCGTTGTGTTGTGTGGGCGCGACGGCTGTACTTCGCGTTGAGTTCGCAGGGAGTCGTTGTGAGGCCCTCTTGGACACTGGGGCTTCGAGAAGTTTCATTAGTCCTCAAACAGTCGAACGACTGCAGCTGAAAGTGCGGAGACTTCCAAAAGAGCATAAGTTCACCGTAGCTACAGGCGCACAACTACGCATTGATCGGGTTGTGACGGGATTGACGATGTGGTGCGGACATGCATGTTTTTCCTGGGACTTTTTAGTGGGAACCGTTCCCTATGACTTAGTCTTGGGTTCGGATTGGCTGACGGAACACAAGGTGGCCTGGTATTTCCAGTCTGACAAACTCCAAACCTATGTAAATGGCCAGTGGTGCGAGTTACCGGTCGTTCGGACTGGTGAAGCAACGCTGCGAGGTGACAGTCCCACCGTAGCCCACAGAAGGGCCCCAGCAGAGCAAGCATATGAGATATTGGCCAAACAAGTGGCGGGCATGTCAGCCGAGGAGGCAGCTATATTCCTACGGCCGCCTCCAAGGAGGTATAAGTCCCACGCGAAGACTAAGGCGAAGGCGCGGATAACGTCTCTAGTTCGTCAGGCGGCGGCTGACACAAAGAATCTCAGGGCTCCATTGCACGGTTTGCATCTCTTACTGGCTTTGACCGAAGTCGGTTTGGCAGTGCCCCTAAGGCTCTCGGATGAACGGCAAGGCACGCTTTGTTGCGCGTTAATTGGATATCAAACCACGTCCTCTGGCTGGCGTAGTCCTTTGGCCTCAACCGCCTCGGTGGCAGCAGAGACTGACGAGGAGTCTCCCTGGCCTATGGCAAAACTCGAGCACACTCTGTTCGACGAATGGATAAATTCGACTGAGGCGCAGGATATTCCATGTGAGGTTGCCCAGGTGTTGCACGAGTGTTTTTTTTTCCCTACAACTTACCTAAGGGATTACCGCCGAAGCGCCCTCTTCTAAGTGTGCCCGGAAAACTTCCAGCGAAATCTGCAATATACCGTATGACCCCAGATCAGCTCACATTCCACAAACAGAAGATAGCTAAATTATCGGAAAATGGTTGGATCGGACCGACCTATTCGCCTATTTGCTCTCCTACGATCATGGTGGACAAACGTGATGATGGCTCCGGGGAGCGGAAGATGCGTATGGTTCTCAATTACCAGGCTCTAAATGCCCTTACGATAGTCCCTGATTTCCCACTACCTCCCATCCAAACTATTCTGGAGATGCTGGGAGGCGCCAAGTACTTTTCCACCTTGGATCTTGAAGCAGGGTTCCATCAAATACGTATGACTAAGGAAGACCGGTAAAAGACGGCTTTCCGGTCCGTTCTCGGACTATTCGAGTACCGAGTGATGCCCTTCGGCCTTAAGGGTGCTCCCGCTACGTTCCAGGCCAATATTAATGTCTATCCACAACCTTTATTGGGACAGGGCGTTATTGCGTACCTAGATGATGTACTTATCTATAGTTCGGATCTCTCTGGGCGCGTTTCTCTCCTGCGACAAGTCCTCAGCATTTTCCTTAGACACCAGTTCTACCCAAAATTCCGCAAATGCAAGTTTGCAAGGCAAATAATCACATATTTGCGTTTTACCATTTCTGCTGCGGGGATCAAACCTGCAGAAGATAAAATCGAAGCCATCCGGCATTGGCCAGAGGTGCTGGAGAATGAAACGCAAGTGCGCCAGTTCCTCGGTACCATAAATCACTGTCGCATGTTCATGGGACCGGACTATACAGACGTTGCCCGGCCGCTGGTTGATCTAACGCTTAAAGACGTCAGTTTCGAATGGACAGAGCATCATACGCAAGCGGTGCGGCAGCTCAAACAGCGCTTAATAGACTTCACTACATTAAAAGTCCCCGACACGACGAAACCCTTCGACTTATACACAGATGCCTCTGGTTATGCGATCGGAGCAGTTCTGGAACAAGACGGCAAAGCCATCGGCTTCCTCAGTCAAGTCATGAACCCCACGCAACAGCGATACTCGATCTACGATCAGGAACTCTTGGCGTTGGTCATGGCACTGTGGTCGCATTTGCTCCGTGTCTCCAAGGTAACGGCTTACACTGATCATCAAGCTCTCACCCATCTCCAACGACTCCAAGCATCGAAGCCTTTGCGCGGACGCACCGCCCTGTGGCTGGACTTTCTTGCGGAGTTCCCGGATTTGCACATCGCGTATGTTCAAGGAGCGCGCAATCAAGTTGCCGACGCCTTGTCTCGCCGTCCCGGTCTTCCTAACACCTGCTCGCACGACACACCATCGGTACCACTGATGCTCGCAATAGGACAGGCGAGCGCGGCTCCCCGCTCTCGTGGTCGGCCTCCCGCCTACAGGGAGCTCGCCGGAATTCGTTCGCGACGACCTAGACGACGCAGCCTGCCGTCCGCACCTTCACCGTCGCCGCCGGAACCCAACCCAGAAGCGGAACACCCTACCCCTACAACGAAGACACCAGCTGCCCCTCCTGATGTGCGCCAATGGCCGCAAGCTTACTCGAAGTGTCCCGTTTTTCGCGTTCCCTACAAAGCCGCAGCAAGCGAACCACGAGAAGCTCTGCAAGTAGAGTTCCGTAATCGCCAATTCACCTTTCGCTACGTAGAGCCTTACCTACACATCTGCGTTCATGGACTGTGGCGCATCTGGGTCCCACAATTCCCTGAGTTCCTTACTCACGTTCTGCATTCACATCACGACCGTGTCACAGCCGGCCATCGAGGCCAGAAGAGGACTTTTGCGGCTCTCAGCAAGCACTACTACTGGCCAGGAATGCGCGCCTACACTACTGCTTATGCTGAGTCATGTACCCACTGTCGCGCTTCAAAGTCTATTAACCAGAAGCCTGCAGGCCTTCTTCAACAGTTGCTCATTTCTCCTCGTCGATGGGCGCACGTGAGTCTCGACTTTATCACAGATCTTCCCCTTACATGCTGTCCC